AGTAGTAANACACACACACACACACACACACACACACACACACACACACACACACACACACACACACATATATATATGTATATACAAACACACACACACACACACACACACACACATATATATATAAAGAGCTCTATGTACACATACATACATGTGTACACGACACATACAACTTACCTTTCATACCCGGGGGGGGTGGAGGGGGTGGGGGAGGGGGTCCTCCTGGACCACCCATGGGCGGTGGTGGAGGTGGTGGTTTGACGCCATCCGCAGCCACAGGCTCAGTGAGTTGTTTGGCTTTCAACTGATCTGCAAGGGACATTCCCTTCTGCGCAGTTGCGGCGGTGGCTGCCCCTGAGGTTAGGGGGGTACCTGCGGTGCCTGAGATACAGTGTGTGTAGGTAAAAAGCAGTGGGTATGTGAGTGTAGGTCAAAAACAGTGAGTATGTGAGCGTAGGTAAAAAGAAGTGTATATATTTTAGGGAGTCCTACAGTGTATACGTACACCCCCACACACTCGCGAACAAACACACTAACACGTTGCCACCCCACCAGCACATCACCATACCCTTTGGGGCATACAGAGACTCGTCCACCAGTCCAAAGATTGCGCCTGTGCCGGCTTTGAAGCCTTCGTTCTTAATGTCCTGTCCATCCTCAGCAAACAGAGCCCCAGACAACACCGTACGCGTCTGCAACGCTCCACCCTCATTAGCCTCACCCAACCGAATGGGAGTGTTACCGTAGCGCTGGATGAAGTCGTCCGCCTGTGCGCCAGTGTAGGAGGATACATGTGTGTATTGGTATAAGTGTACATTAGTATATGTGTGCGTGTTAGTATATGTGTGCGTGTTAGTATATGTGTGCGTGTTGGTATATGTGTGCGTATTGGTATATATGTGTGTATTAGTATATGTGTGCGTAATAGTATATGTGTATACAGTAGTGTATACGTGTATACAGTAGTGTATACGTGTATACAGTGGTGTATATGTGTAAATTAGTGGATATGTGTACATCAAACCGTATGGATCGATATACATATGAAATTATTTGTGAATGCTGACATCTCTATATATCATCAGATGTGCCTATGCTGTATGTGTGTTGCGTCAGTCTCACCCAGACCAGTGTGAATGTTACAGTAGAGGTCGAGAACACCGTCCGCTACTATGAGTGAAAAGTGATACATATGTACATCGTCATATCTATGCGCGTCAAGCTATATGTATCGATATCCATAGCAGATCAAAAATGTTTCTAATATCCATAGCAGATGAATACGTAATGATCAAATACGTATACTCTATACGTAGCAGATCAAATACGTATACTGACATACATAGCATGTGCAATACGTATACTGATATACATAGCAGAACATATGCATACATATACGTATACTGATATACATAGCACTTCAAATACCTATACCGATATACATGGCAGATTATACACGTATACTCGTTAATATATATCCTCAGATGTGTCCAACTCAAACTGTCTGTCTTCGTTTACGCAGGTAGGCTATAAACAGATCGTATGCGCTTACGAAACAGCATGCATCATTACAAATACCTTACCACACTCCGCATAAACAGGAACATACATCCGAGCTTCACGGACAAGCACAGTTTATGTTACACTATACACAGTATAAAGCACATATGTGTCTTCAAAAAAAAAATCTCCAGAATCACAATGGCGACCAAAACAGGGCCACGCACCCCTACATACTACATATCCTATAGTATATAGTGAAAATACACTACATAGTATGTAGTATGTAGTATATATGTATATATATTTATAATATATAGTATGTAGTATATGTATAAAAATTCATAGTACATAGTGCATACTACATGTTATATACTACATACCTTATAGTATATAGTGGATATGCGCTATATAGTATATAGTATGTAGTATATACATATACTTATAGTATAAAGTATGTAGTATACATATATATTCATAGTACATAGTGCATACAACATATCACACACTACATACCTCATAGTATATAGTGGATATACGCTACATAGTATACAGTATGTAGTATATATATACACTCATAGTATATTTTACATAATACATGCTACATACCTCTGCTAGCACCTTTTGGTACGCCTCTTCGCGGGCGATCTCTGCGCGTTTGCACTCGAAGATCAACCTGTGGGGGTCCATCACATGTGTATGATGAGACTAGCATCGCAGTGAATAAGATCGGACTGAACTGTTCGTTGTTGTTGTTGATAATACTAGTGCACGTATCTAATGTAGTGAGTAGTCACACACTGTTCGTTTCTTCTCGCTACTTGTTGATAGTACTAGTGCACCTATTTAATGTAGCGAGTAGTCACACACTGTTCGTTTCTACTCGCTACCGCTGTACACCTCACCGCAGTGGCCAGTGGAGATGCAAGATGCTGATCTCACGAGAGACTAACTTGCCTCCACGCAACACACAGACACACAAACCAAATGAGTGCAGCAAGAAAACTGGGGATGACCAGAGCATAAGTGACCGTGTGCGCGAAAGGTCCCAATCTGACGCCTATCGTCCTTTCTTACACCTACCTACAAACACACACACCCTGCCCATACCGTATGTATGTACGTGTGTATATACGCTTCTACATACTCTCTTACACACGCGTTGCCTATCGTCCTTTCTTACACCTACCTACAAACACACACACCCTGCCCATACCGTATATATGTACGTGTATATACGCTTCTATATACCCTCATACACACTCGTTGCCTATCATCCCTGCTTACACCTACATACAGACGCACACACCCTGCCCATACCGTATGTATGTACGTGTGTATATACGCTTCTACATACCCACATACACACTCGTTGCCTACCATCCTTTCATACACCTACCTACAGACGGACACTTCCTGCCCATACCGTATGTGTGTACCGTATGTGTGTACATGAGTATATACGCTTCTATATACCCACCTACGCACTCGTTGCCTATCACCCTGTAAAACACCTACCTACAGAAACACACTCCCCACTCCTTGCCCATACCGTACCTGACTTTCTCTCGGTGTTCTGTGCGAAGTATCTCGTTTGTTGTGTTGAACTTTGTGAGTTTGGATAGTCGGCCTAGTTCCAGGCGCAGTTCCTTCTGCCGTTTCTCGTATTTGCCGATGTTGTCGCACATTCGCAGAATATCAATCGCCTTCGTTGTTTTATGTGTGGGGAAAATGTATATATACACTAAATTGTATTGATTTATTTGAACATCGTATTAGATCGCAAGGTAACGTGTGGTATATGTATATGCACTATGTTTTTTAAGGTAACGTGTGGTATATGTATTTGCATTATGTTTCATAAGGTAACGTGTGGTATATGTATATGTACTAGGTTTCATATGGCTATGCGATATGGAGTTTTGCAGGGTTGGCACACCTTAGAAATTCTAAATAACAGAGACGGAAAGTTTGCCGCCCACTGCACGCGTGCATATGTATATATGTATATATGTATATGTATATGTATATGTATACATACATATATATATATATATATATATATATAATATACATAATAAACACACACACACACCACACACACACANATATATATATACATACATATATATATA